CGTAAGAGAATGAACTCTATTCTATGGTATTGGCAAATGGTTAGACATGGCTATAAGCCTGAAATCTACCAAAATGTTAATTAGAAATTTATATGTCTTCTGTGCCATTTAGGCCAAAGATTTATTGATGCATATCAAGTATTGAAATCGTTATGTCTCACTGAAAAGTATATCTTTGAATAAAGTCTTTGATTGATATGAACGTTTATCACATGATTTCACATATGTCTTGCTGTTCCTATTTGCTTTTGCCATATTGAAGTATATATAAGGCATAAGATTATATTGTATCTATTTATTGAATTCACTAAGCGTTATCGCTTATTCCTCTCAATGTTTAACAATTGCAGGTGATGAGTATCCAATATAGTTTTATACTGCTGAAAGATTTAGAATAGTTAATAGTATTTCTCTGTATTTTAATGTTCATGTATGTATATGAATAGTAGATTCCTAAGTAGATATGAAATGTTATAAAACTTAGTCGATTTGTGTCCAATCTTTTGTAATCACTTTATCAATATAAAATATTGTTTTATAAATATGCATGTAGCATGTTTTGATGAAGTAACTTAAGAAATCTTTTGAAATAGTATGAAAGTTTGGGTCTTTCATAAATACGAAAGTTGGGGTCTTTCAATCATGGTATCAGAGCAATGGTTTAAGTGAACTAAATATCACGGATTGGTATTTAGACTTAAACTGTTGGAAGCTCAATATATGAGCTGATTCGTAATAAGTATATGGATACAAACCATAGGAAATATTTAAGTGGGGGATTGGGTAATGATAAACCCTAGTATTCTAAGATATTAAGTTACTTCAGAATTTTAAGAAAATTAGTTTAAGTGAACTAGAAATTTTAAGAATTTCTAAACTTAAACAAGAATTATTAAGTAAATATGATACGATATAGTTTAGGTTGAATACCTAATGAAGGCAAGCACTAGAATATTAAGAGGAGATATGTCTTATATTCTATTATGTGCTAAATGATAAATGAATATAGAGAGATTTGTCTTATATTCTATTATGTGCTAAATGATAAATGAATATAGAGAAGAGATATGCCTTATATTCTATTATGTGCTAAATGATTAATGAATATAGAGAAGAGATATGTCTTATATTCTATTATGTGAGAAAGCTTAAGGTCTGTTGCCGACCATGGTTTAGAAAATTCTAAGAATTTTCGTAATAGAATTTTTAAAGTGATAAAGAGACTTATGATAGTTGACATCGATAAGTTTATAAATAAACGATCGCGAGATATCGTAAAATAATAAATATGAATTATTATCGTAATAAGTGTACTAATACCAATAGAGTGGTAATATACATTTAAAGTATGATTGATATATAATAACATCTTTGGAAGAAAGATGTGCATTTGAAACACGTTTGGACAAGATAAATGTGTTGGTACAAATCCACGAAGTTGTTCTACTGCTGTTCAGATTGAAGAAGTGATTGTTTAATATAGTCAAAAGAACCGGAGATGGTGATCAGTACTTCGGCAGTATCACAATGAATATTGTGCAAGATTTAGAAGAATTAAATGAAGATCAAAAGAAAGGCTAATGAAGTTTTCAGACTCAATAGGCCAAGACTTTGTGATATAAAGTTCCATTGTGTGTTAAGCCGACTTTAACATACATGATTGGGATGGTGAATTGAGTCATTTAGTGGTAAATGGTTAATCAACTTACTTTTTTAAGTAAGGTAGAATGCTTAATTGAAGAAGAAATACACCTATAGTATCGTATGAGAAGAGATGTTGGAGTCAGGAATGACAGAGAACCAAGTTGAAGCTAGTAAAGCTTGCTAAGATGCAGCTAAGATGCAGACTTCTTAGGATAGACTCCTATGAAATAGAATTAGACTTACTCAGATACAAGATTAACGATGTCAAGGAAGAATAATGAAATGAACAAAAGTGCATGATGGATTGCATGAGTTAGAAGATGGTGCAGGTAGTAGAAGACCGTTTATCTCCATACTGCTAAAGTAAATTTTGGAATAGTGTGTCTTGTAGAGTAGACACTACTCAAGAAAGAATTAGTATGAAGAAATGGAAGTAAAATTTCTATCGACCTATGGAAAAGTATTAGGATATATTAAATCGAGCATATACATGAGAAGAATCCTAGAAGGCGAGTATAGGTAATCCAATATATGTTTGATAGAAACCTGAAAACCCTAGTTGAGTCTAGGAGAAATTGTTGTATGTATTTGTTTAAACACGTTCATGTGTGATAAGTTGCTTTGTGAAAACCATTGAATGGTGACTTGAGAACTGCAAGACAATACTTGGGACGAGTATGAGTAGGTGTGAATAGTAGTAGAGGCCTATACTACTGGAAGCACATGACTCACACTTGGATCAGGAAAAGTCACAAGGTTACCAAGAAACTAGTAAATGATTTCGTTTTATTCATGTGTGTCGTTACCTTCGTTTCGGTAATGACTAAGAAGATAATTATCGTTCAAATCTTAATGTCATAAAGAATCGAATCCGATTAGTACAAATCTGCGAAAGGAGTTAATTGGTTCAGAGAACCATGTCTTATATAGTGACAAAACATTAGTAAGAATACTGAAGAAATAAATGGTCGAGATAGTCGATAGAAATATAATAATCTTCATTAAAGAATTGAGCAATCATTAGCCAGAGATGTGACTTGCTATGTGGTGTTACTGGCCACAAGAAATGTATCCGTCCTACTCTCACTATTCAAATGGCGGGGAGTCAAATTGGCGTTCAACAATTAAAGAATACTCCAACTAAAAAGGAGGAGGTGCCAAAAGCTAAAAGATATGTAGGTCCGAAAGCACGAATTAGAGATATGTGGTGCTATTCTTTCTGTTCCAAAGCATCTACGTGTTGATCAAACTCTTTTCATTTTCTTTATTCCATTAGCTTGATTTATTTGATCGGATTCTATTACAAGAGTTTGGTTCGTTATGTGTCTTGTGTGTTATAAATACAAATGTCATTAGAATAAAACCATTCGAGTTGCTATCATAGCAAAAGTAAAGACCTTATCATGGGTTTAGTCTATAAACCAAGAAGGAGCACGAGTCTGCAATGAGAATTGAGTTTTAACTCAAAGACTAGGATTGAACGTTCAATAAAGTATGAAGAGCAGGTGCAAATTTGAACACCGCCGGTAATTAGGAAGTTTGAAGAATTTGACAATCGTTTGGCAAACTAAAAGCTAAATATCGTACATTTTAGATTACCACAAAGGAAGTAAGTTAAAACTCGAATGTTGTGACTAGTAATTTTCTCGTAAACTCTAGATCTACTCACATCTTATTTGATTTCAATGCCTCATATTCTTTCGAGCCTTATAAATTCGCATATTCTTTTCAAATGGCTTGTTACGCAGTTGTCCAATCATTTCATATAGATAACATAGGAAATATATCATTACTCGCTGATAAAGCCTATAGAGTTAGTGTTATAGGAATTGAAAGTTATAATCTTCCTGCTAACCTAATTCCTATCTTTGATATTATTCTCGACGTGGAATGGTTGTTAAAGAACCACGCAAAGCTCTTGTTGTAGAAAGAGATGATATGCATCCCTATCGAAAGGGAAGATCCTATTTATGTCTACAGTGAAAATAATAAATTTCTTTCTTAAAAACTCGTAAATTATGTCGAAGGGATATTATGCTTATCCGGCTTATACAGTTCATACTTTGGAAGAGGAGAAGAAAACTGTGAATGATAACCTTTGGATAATCATCAACCGACTGATGAAGAGTGCATATATTCTCGCCACACGTGAAACGACTCCATTGGAGAAATACGCGTAAGTTACCTAGACGAAATTGTGGCAAGTCATGATGCGCCACTATAGATTATTTACGACTGTGATGCTCGTTTCACTCCTCACTTTTGGGTGAGAATGAAGCATGAATTAGGATCTCGAGTTGCTCTTAGTACAACTTATCATCCTCGGACAAATGGTCAAAAGAAGAGAGCAATCTAAACAGTAGAAAATATACTGAAGGTATATAAAGTACTGTCCGGCCTTCTTGCAGTACCTAGTTATGATTATTTTGAATTAACTTTTTTTCTACATGTCATTTTATGAGTTTTTCTATTTTTTTCAAATTCACACAATATTTTAATATAATAATTGCAGTAAATGTAGTAATAAATGGATATCAATTTCATTAAGTAAATTACATTTTAATTTCAAAATTTACAAATTAAAGTTCATTAGTTTTTATATTTATTTATTTAAATTAGTTTTTTAAATTTAAAAGATAAAAAACATTTCAATTATAATAATTCATTATTTTTGTTATTTTCTTCAAAATTCAAAAATCTTAAATATTTGAACCTTTATATATATATATATATATATATATATATATATATATATAGGAGTGAGATCAAATGAGAACACCTAAAAGGTTGAGAACGTGAGAACAGATCTGGACCATTTAATTTTTAAGATGTGTGGCTATAATTAATTGTTATTTTTCTAATTATTAATACATTTAAAAATTAAATTTCGAATTAAAGAAAATTATAAAGGGTGTTAAGGTAAATAAACATTACCCTAATTTTGTAAACTCTTATAATTACTCTCTGCCTCTCTATTTCGTTGACCTAATTTTACAAACCTTGAAAAACCCTCAGCCCTCTCTCAGCTTCCTGCCTCTATGTGCGCCTCCGCCCTCCTCCATCCCCACCACTCTTCCGCCCTCATCAGTCGCCCCTCACCCTTGCTCCGCCCTTACTGCTTATTGGTGCTGTCTGCCGCTGTAAAGTTAGAAAGAGGTATTTTTTTAACTTTTAATTTGGAAATCTATCATCCCTACTATTATTTCGGCGGCTGCGCTTCTCGCTAGTGCTCTCTGGCATCGTGTAGGAGCAAAGCATCGGTATGGTCTACAGGGGAATCCGTTATTCCCCTCTCCCCTATCTTTTGGAACATATACCTGTTTTCGATTTGTGTTGAAGCTGTTCAGTTGTAAAAGATGGCTCAGACCACTGAGGGTGCGTCTGAGATTGTGGAGGGTTTAAGGTTCAGTTTCATGACTGATGAAGAGATCAGGAAGCACAGTGTTTTAAAGATTACAAACCCTATTTTACTTGATAGTGTTGGAAGACCAATTCCAGGAGGATTGTATGATCCTTTGTTGGGCCCAATGGATGAACAAGCACCTTGTAAGTCATGTGGGCAGCAGTCATTTCAATGCCCAGGGCATTGTGGTCACATTGATCTTGTTTCACCAATATACAATCCATTGCTTTTTGGTATGCTTTTCACTCTTATAAGGAAAACATGCTTCTTTTGTCGCCATTTTAGAGCAGGAAAAGAAGAGGTCAATGTTTGTACGTCTAAACTAATGAAGATAGCAAAAGGTGATGTTTCTGGGGCTAAAGATTATGTTATCAATAATTCAGATGCCCTCATTATAATCATTTATGATTATAACAACATATGTTTTTCTACTAATCATTCCTTTTAATATTTTGTTGGTATTTTTATTGTCTTTATATGTTATTGTTATTTTTGTAGATACTAATTAAAGGAAAAGGAATGCTAGAATTCTTTAGAAATCTTGTTTCACCAGTATACAATCCATTGCTTTTTGGTATGCTTTTCACTCTTATAAGGAAAACATGCTTCTTTTGTCGCCATTTTAGAGTAGGAAAAGAAGAGGTCAATGTTTGTACGTCTAAACTAATGAAGATAGCAAAAGGTGATGTTTCTGGGGCTAAAGATTATGTTATCAATAATTCAGATGCCCTCATTATAATCATTTATGATTATAACAACATATGTTTACTACTAATCATTTATTTTAATATTTTGTTGGTATTTTTATTGTCTTTATATGTTATTGTTATTTTTGTAGATACTAATCAAAGGAAAAGGAATGCTAGAATTCTTTAGATTCTGTGCCTGCTCCTACTCGTTACACAAGCTCGCGCACCATTTGATTCAAAGAGAAGGAAGGGGTTGTGACCAATTCAAGAAAATAGCTGATATAGGGATGAATTTTGCAAAAAAAAATTATTTGAAGTGGTTTAATCATTGTTGAATATAATTATGTATAAATGTATCAAACTAGTCTTGGGATATTCTTTTATGAATATAAATATATAAATGTATAAACTCAATCTTTGAAAGTTTTATTTTATGAATATAATTTTTAATGTGTTGATTTTTTTTATTTGTTAGCATATTCATGTATGATTAGTAAAAAAAATCAACACATTAAAAATCAACATATTCTTTTATGAATATAAATATATAAATGTATAAACTCAATCACAAACATATATTTTTATAATTACAAATGTTTTATTCATATATGATTGAAATTATTTTGATGAATAGTAAATTAGAAAAAAAAGGATTTTTTATTTGATAAAAAAATAATATAAATTATCTTTAATATCCATTAATAAAAGAAATAAAAAAAAAAATCGGTTCATATTTTATTTTAGGTAGATAATCATTATCACTAAATTTTAGAAAATTAAGATTTGAATTTAATTTGATTTTATTTAAAATAAATAAACAATTACTAATATACCCTTATAATATGATTGGTCCAGAAGTGTTCTCGCGTTCTCAATCATTTAGGTGTTCTCATTTGATCCTTTCCCTATATATATATATATATATATATATATATATATATATATATATATATATATATATATATATATATATATATATATATATATATATATATATATATTCACCCTTGTAATACATGAGTCTCACAACTAGTGTTATATGTAATCTCGATTAAAAATTACGTAAAGCCATGGTTTTAAAAATCGTTCAAGGCCAGGAAGTGATTAAACATATATGAGATGGACACTTAGGGGCATTTGGGTCCAAGTATATATAATAAATTATTTTAGCTTTTTCGAACTGTATAAATTTTATAGTTCAAACTTTTATATTCTTTATTTTCATTTATTTTAGAAAATTTGTACTTTTAAAAAAAATATTGTTAGTATTCTAACTAATATTTGTAAACTGTTACATAAACTACAATTATTAGAAATGAAAATTACAAAAAATGTTCAAGTAGGGAATTTCCAAATACATCACCTAATTATTGCACTGGTGGATTTCCTGTGTCATTCCTATATTTGCATACATTCACATTCAATACAATTTTCATTTATGGTCCTCCTATTTGTATATATGTTTTATAAATTATCTTTAACCTTTTAGATTTTGTTTTCAACTTTTTGTTATTTTAATATTCTAAAACAAATATACACATTTATGCATGTGAAAGATCGAATTTAAGTACTAGTATATCACTTCTATTCTAATAAATGAAACTCTTTTTGCCACATACCAGACTCCCAATAAATTTATGAAATGTCATTTTATGGTTATTTTAAAATAATTTTTTTCCACATGTCATTTTATGAGTTATACTATTTTATTAAATACACATAATATTTTAGTATAATAATTGCAATAAATGTAGCCATAAATGGATATCAATTTCATTAATGAACTTAGAGTAAATTACTGAAATCGTCCCAATGGTTCGGTCAAAATTTTACGTTTGGTCCCTAACTTTTTTTTTTTACACTCGGAACGTCCCTATGGTTTGATTTCATTGCGTTTTTTGTCCCTATAGTTTGGTCAAAATTGCAAGTTTGATCCCTAATTTTATGTATGTAAGAGACACAAAACACAACAAAATCAAACCACATAGACGATCCGAGTGCAAAAGAAAGGTTGAGGACCAAATGTGAAATTTTCACTAAACCATAGGGACTGATCCGAGTGCAAAAGAAAGGTTAAGGACCAAACGTGAAATTTTCACTAAACCATAGGGACTATTTCGGTAATTTACTCATGAAACTTACCTTTTTATTTCAAAATTTCAAAAGTAAAGTTAATTAGTTTCTTTGATTTATTTATTTAAATTATTTGCTTAAGTTTAAAAGATAAAAAAAACATTTCAATTATAATAATTTATTTTTTTTCTTATTTTTTTCAAAATTCAAAAAGTTCTCAAATACTTAAACCTTTAAATGCATGCACGCCCCCGAAAAGTAAATCATGATCAGATCAGGCACTGTTATATATGCATAGACGACCCTTGTTCTCCATCACCGCGTTGCCAAGAAACAAAGTTGGCAGAAAGCGCCCTGGCAATATCCCTACTCGCCGCTAGTCTCTACTCCTGTGTGTGCCATCGGATTTCACCACACAACGCCTTTTCGTGATACATGTCTATCTTGCAAATCGGGAAGATCATCGGCCTTCTTGCAGTACCTAGTTATGATTATTTTGAATTAATTTTTTTCCACATGTCATTTTATGAGTTTTTCTATTTTATGAAATTCACATATTATTTTAACATAATAACTGCAGTAAGTATAGTAATAAATGGATATCAATTTCAGTAAGTAACTTAAATTTTAATTTTAAAATTTCCAAATTAAAGTTCATTAGTTTCTTTGGTATATATTTATTTAAATTATGTTTAAATTTAAAATATAAAAAACTTTTCGATTATAATAATTCATTATTTTTCTTATTTTCTTCAAAATTCAAAAATATTAAATATTTTCACATTTATATATATATATATATATATATATATATATATATATATATATATATATATATGAATTAACCATAATAATACATGGGTCTCACAACTAGTGTTATATGTAATCCCGATTAAAAATTAGATAAAACCATGGTTTTAAAAATCGTTCAAAGCCAGGAGTGATTAAACATATATGAGATGGACACCTAGGCGGATTTGGGTCCAAGTATATATAATAAATTATTTTAATTTTTTTCGAACTGTATAAATTTTATAGTTCAAACTTTTATATTCTTTATTTTCATTTATTTTACGAAATTTGGAGTTTTTTTTTTTTAAATATTGTTAGTATTCTAAATAATATTTGCAAGCATTTACATAAACTACAATTTTTAGAAACAAAAATTACAAGAAATGTTCAAGTAAGGAATTTCCAAATACATCACCTATTTATTGCACTGATAGATTTCCTGTGTCATGCCTATATTTGCATACGTTCACATTCATTGCAATTTTCATTTATGTTCCTCCTATTTGTATATATGCTTTATAACTTATCTTTAACCTTTTTTATTTTATTTTCAACTTTTTGTTATTTTAATATTCTAAAACAGTTATACACATTTATGCATGTGAAAGCTCAAATTAAAATACTAGTATATCACTTCTACTCAAATAAGTAAAACTCTTTTTGCCACATGCCAAACTCTCAATAAATTTATGAAACGTCATTTTATGGTTATTTTGAAATAATTTTTTTCCACATGTCATTTTAAGAGTTATTCTATTTTATTAAATTCACACAATATTTTAGTATAATAGTTATAATAAATGTTGCAATAAATGGATATCAATTTCATTAATTAACTTAGAGTAAATTACTGAAATCGTCCTTATGGTTCAGTCAAAATTTTACGTTTGGTCCCTAACTTTTTTTTGCACTCGGAACATCTCTATGGTTTGATTTCTTTGCGTTTTTCGTCCCTATGGTTTGATCGAAATTGGACGTTTGATCCCTAATTTTATGTATGTAAGGGACAAAACACAACAAAATCAAACCACATAGATGATCAGAGTGCATAAGAAAAGTTGAGGACCAAACGTGAAATTTTCACCAAACCATAGAGACTATTACAGTAATTTACTCATGAAACTTACCTTTTTATTTCAAATTTTCCAAAGTAAAGTTCATTAGTTTCTTTTGTTTATTTATTCAAATCATTTTCTTAAGTATAAAAGATAAAAAAAGATTTCAATTATAACAATTTATTATTTTCTTATTTTCTTCAAAATTCAAAAAGTTCTCAAATACTTAAACATTTATATGAATGCACGCCCCGCGAAAAGTAAATCATGATCAGATTAAGCACCGTCGTCGTCCTCCGGCGATGGTGGTTCGTTAAGATCCGGGTGTTTGAACCGCTTAGACGGCCCTTGTTCTCCATCACCGAGTTGCCGAGAAGCAAAGTTGGCAAAAAACACCCTATCAATATCCCTACTCGCCGCTACTCTCTCCTCCTGTGTGTGCCACCGGATGTGGCCACACAAGGCCTTTTCGTGATACATGTCTCTCTTGCAAATCAGGCAGATCACCAGCTTTCTTGCAGTACTTAGTTATTATTATTTTGAGTTAATATTTTTCCACATGTCATTTTATGAGTTTTTCTGTTTTATTAAATTCACACAATATTTTAATATAATAATTGCAGTAAATGTAGTAATAAATGGATATCAATATCATTAATGAAGTTAGAGTAAATTACGGAAATCGTCCTTATGGGTCGGTCATAATTTTACGTTTGGTCCCTAACTTTTTTTTTTTGCACACGGAACTTCCCTATGGGTTTGGTCAAAATTGCACGTTTGATCCCTAACCTTATGTATGTAAGGGACACAAAACACAACAAAATCAAACCACGGGACGA